CGGCACTGAGGAGGAACTGCAGCAGCAAGTATTTCCCAGTTACACGAATGCGGTGGTTTTCTCGTCTGTCCCCCGCCATGACGCTGGTAGCATTGCGATTCGAATGGAGGGTACATCACAGATGGAGGCGAACGAGGCAGTTGATGAAGGTCGAAAGCGCCACTCGATTTTGGTTCCAGGCTACGTCCAGAGGTTGCTGATCAAACTTCGGGCATCCATGTCGGCTGGTACCAGCTCGGACGACACGATGCTGGTGTACAATGTGCACAAGTTTGGTTTGCTGGAGCAAGACGATCATGCCATCCTGCGCCGTAGTCGCACGGAGGTGGCAGTTTTGGGAGCGAACCCCAAGAGACCCACCGTGAGGGTCATAGGCGATCTCAATTTCCAAGAGAAGGCAACTATGTAGTTTACCACCCCTGAGGTGGACAAGGGCCTGCTGCCTAACCCCCGACAGCGTGAGCGTGGCCGCGAGTGGCAGGAGGACCTCAGCAGCATGGTGGAACTGGACCCTGGGCAGCCTGTTCTTTGCGGCGGACGAGAGGCTCGCGCAGATGTGTGTGCGATGAAGACTCTGGGGGAATGCGATGGAGGGGCGGACTCCGGCTCTCAGCCACAGTATACGAGTTGCCTACCCGTTGGACTGCGGTGCGCGAGGCCTGGTTTCCTGATCGCCCCGCCCTGTCCATCTCGATTCTCGCCTCGTCTTTGCTCCTTCGCTTACAGATGCGGGGCGAGATCTGGCAGGCCGACGCCTCACCATAGCATCTTACGTGCACCACGCACATCGTAATATTTCTTTTTTCGGTCTCTGGTAGCTTCGGCACGCATAGCTCGTGCCCGGATGTTGCAGCAGGCTGAGCTAGGTGGTGGCAAATTGACACCTCGTGGGCTACGTCCGAGGAGGAGGAGGAGGATCAAATTGAGGATGAGGATTACGATGATGATGGGTCAGAAGCAGGGGGGGATCTGATGGGCATGCGGCCCGATGCTCACACGGTGTCGTTGAGCATCCTGGCGAGGCCGATCCGATCCAATTCCGACTCCGTACCGATACGGCGGCTCGTATTCCGATCTGGCACGGTTTCCAGATTGGGTGTTATTTGATATTACCTTCTTCTCCTCCTCCACATCAGCATCCTTCTCCTGCCCCCCAGACCCCCGATGTAGTGATTTGTTCATAACGTCGACCCCACAAATCTCGACCACTTCCTTTGGGCTGGCTGTTCGTCCTGGAGCATTCTGCTGACAGCTCCAGGGCCCGGCGAGGGCCCCCAGGTGACCGAAAGCAGCGGAAAAGATTGGTATTGCTATGTCCAACACGTTGGAGGTATGGGTTCTCCTCCTCCTCCTCCTCCTCCTCCTCCTCCTCCTCCTCCTCCTCCCCCTCCTCCTCCTCCTCCTCCTCCTCCTTCTCACCTCCTCGCCTATTATCATTCCTCACCCCCCTCCGTCGTGAACTCTCCGCGACGCGATGAGTTGGGGGTTCCAGGTCATCTCTGACGAGGCGCAGCTGCTGGGAAGCATCTGTTGGCTGGAAGCGCCTGCGGGAACTTACCAGGCCCCCGGAGACCACGACACAGACTAACCAGGACATTGGCAAGTCAGGGAAACCACACCCTTTCCTGCAAAGTCCGATTTGGTTGTCCAGTGCAGTGTTTGTTTGCTGCGCTGCAGGATTCGGGTTTTGGTCCAGGTTTAGGGAGGGGCCTGTGCCTGGGTTCCTTCCCGGAGCATTGCTTTGCAGTTTTTTTCTCGCGCCGCCGTCTGGGGAAAATCAGTTTCGAGGGATGTTGGATGTCCTGGTCTAGCGTGTCCGGGTGTACGGGGCTCTCTCTGAATATACGATCACCAACTCAAAACAGACGCCCAATCCCGAAAACGCGAGGGCCAGATCAGAACGCAGGCTCCTCGAGATTTCGGGAAGGGAGATTTCGGGGTGCGGTGTTACCAGGGGGACAACGACGGACGAAGACCATACCCCGAAATCTTTGGCCGATTTGCGCGTCCTCGGTGAATCCGTGATTCTGATATCGGGAATGTGTGTTTTCTTGGCCATACGGGAACGCCTTAAGCTCGAACCTCGAATCTCGAGGACCTCGTACAGCGTCCTCCCTCGACGCATGCGGGTTTGGGCCGTGCGTGCCGCCGCTGAATATCCTGGACTTGATCCGGCTTCGCCCCGGACGTGGCCCAGCTCCATGGGAGGAGGAGGAGGGGCAGGAGGAGGAGGAGGAGGAGGAGGAGGAGAAGGAGGGGGAGGAGAGGAGGAGGAGGGTGAGGGGGAGGAGGGGGAAGGAGGAGGAGGAGGAGAAGGAGGATTTATCGGGCTCAAGATGGCCCTTGCTCGTTGTGCCGAGGACCTCCCAGAGGTTGCCTATACCAACCTTCGCCCCTGCCTCCTCGCCTCCAGGTTGGTGACAGGAGGAGGAAGGGCATACGCTCCAAGGGTTTTTTTGTTTGGGAGCGGCGGGATCCTCGTCCTCCTCCTCCTCCTCCTCCTCCTCCTCCTCCTCCTCCCTCCTCCTCCTCCTCCTCCCTCCTCCTCCTCCTCCTCTTCCTTCTCCCTCCTCCTCCTCCTCCTCCTCCTCCTCCTCCTCCTCCTCCTCCTCCTTCTCCTTCTCCTTCTCCTTCTCCTCCCCTCCTCCTTCTCCTCTCCTTCTCCTTCTCCTCCTCCTCCTCCCTCCTCCTCCTCCTCCTCCTCCCCCCCCTTCCTCCTATTCCTCCTCCTCCTCCTCCTCCTCCTCCTCCTGCCCCTCCTCCTCATGATTATGCACCCCTGCCGACGGTCCACACGCGCGGGGTTGGCCAGGCTGCGGTTCAGAGAATCTCGAGCCCTCGCCCCTGCTTCCAGAGTCACGCATGGGGGGGGCATTCCGTATATTTTTCGTGCTGGAAGCATCCTCAGTTTTGGCAGGCCCCGAGGCGAATTGTTAGGATGCTGTCCCGCCCCAGCGTTCCATCTATCCATCCATTCATCCATGCATCCATCCATCCATCCAGCGTCTTACTTCGATGCCGTCCGCCAGCTTTGCCTCGTCTCGCCGCGCGCCGCGCGCGGGCAGCGAGGCGACGATGCAGTTCGCGCGGGGCCCACGCATGCGCTCCTGGCGCAGCGGCTGCTCGGCGGCGCTGCTCGACTCGGGGCGCCCGCGGCGGCGGCGGCGCCGACGGCGGCAACTCCCCTCTCGTCGTGGACCCCACAAAATCACGGCGACTGATTTTTTGATGTTTTCGGCCTTTGGGGCCTTCGGCGGGCCTCGGACGGGGCTAGGACGAGGATAAATCCGCTTCAGAGCGATCAGTTCCTGTTCATTTTGAACAGGGCTCGCTGTCCGCGCCGCCGCGCCCCGTGTCCACTTCAGACAGGAGGCCGCCTGCCCAGCAGCGGTCGCTGTTGGTTTGGGGCAACATTTGTCGTTGGGTATTGCACCCATTGTTTCCGTACCCATCTCGGGCGTCCAAACAGGTGAAGTCAGGCCTGTCCCTCTGCAGGAGGAATCTTCCAAAAATAGTATGTGAACGATGTGTTTACTAGTTTTGACTGTTTGGGGGTATTGTTTGAGCAGTTTCCCTTTTCGTCCAAAATACCTCTGTAAGGGGGACATGCCCGACCTAAGGCTCAGGGGAGGAAGTGGCACCGTTAAGTCGGGCATGTCCTTCCACAGGAGGAGTACCCAGGAACAGTTTAGAATAGTCTGGTGACGATTGTCGTGCTCTTTTGGAAACTGATGATCATGTTTTGATTCCACTGTTCTTCCAGAATCTGCCTGCGGGAGGACAGTAACGACTTTCGTGCTCTTTGAATCGTCTCTGATCATGCTTTGACCCTGTTGCACTGTTCTTCCGAAATCCGCCTGCGGGGGGACATGCCCGACCTGCAGGCGGCCCGGACTAGTAGAGGTCGACCTTGCCAAATCGAGGGTACCCTCGTGCCCTGTGTCTTGCGACCCATGCCTCCTGCAGTTCTGTGGCAACGTGACCCTCGGAAGGGTCTTGTGTTAGGTCGGGCCTATCCCCCTACAGGGGGATTTTCGACGAAAAATAGGAAAAATATTCAAACATAAGTTTAAAAAGAATGCAAAAATAGTCTGGGGGCTATTTTTGGAGTATTTGTTTTGCCTTTTTGGAGTATTTTGGGAGTTTTGTTTTTTAATTTTTCGTCGAAAATGCCCCTGTAGGGGGACAGGCCCGACTTAAGCCTTGTGTCCTCTCGCGTGTCCTCTCCAGTCGAGCCCGACCCAGCGATACCGCCGCCGTGGCTCGTCCTGGAGGGCCCTCGTGGCCACGGCCGGGCTCGCCCCGGAGACCTGGCGAGAGCGGACCCCAGACAAGAGGCCCGGGGCGCAGCGGCACGGCCGCCTGCGAAAGGGACGTGGCCTCGCTCGGGCGTGTGCATTTTTCCCCGGCGAGAGCCATCGAGGACCATCCTGGACCATCGAGCGACAAAAAAAAACACGCACGGAACCGAAAAAAATGCACGGGAGATGGACGTCCGGGCGACGGCAAGGAAGCGCCCACCTCAGATGTCGGCGACAAGACGACAGAGCTCGCCCCCTTTCCCCCCGTCTTTCTCGGAGGTTGATCGACCTCCTACCCTGACACGTCGATTAGCGAATTGGCCGTTCTCGGTTCGCGAGAGGGCGTCGCGGCGGGGTAGGGGGAAGGAGGAGGCTTCTTGGAAGCACCCCTGCTTCTAAGAAGCCTTCACCCCTCCCCCTACCCTTAAGTCGGGCCTGTCCCCCTACAGGGGGATTTTCGACGAAAAATAAGAAATACCCCAGAAATAATCAAAAGATAGCCCCAAAATAGTCTGGAGACTATTTTTTGAGTATTTCTTGATCTTCTTAAGGGATTTTTGGTGTGTTTTTTGTTTTTCGTCGAAAATCCCCCTGTAGGGGGGACAGGCCCGACTTAACCCTACCCCTTTCTGCGCGCAGCCGCCCCTCTCCTCCCCCCGCATGCCAAGGTTGACGAGGAGGCCATGCCCCCCCACACACAGAAGTGGGCGTTTATTTCGCAACACGTCGCGCTCCCTTTTGGCGCATTCTCAGGAGGGAAAAAAACACACAGACACAATTAATCGCCCATTCCCCCGAACATATTGGAAAATATGGGAAGTGGGGGGGAAGACGAAAACCCAGAAAATACAGGAAAATATGGAGAGCCTTTTTATTCGTGTGTATTTATTTCTGTGTCCTGGGGCCCCTTCACATTCGTTGGCCAACATTGAGATGCGGGGCGCGGGGGCGGGGCGCTCCGGCCATCTACGAGCGGGCGCGTGTGTCGCAAAGGGCGGTGGCGGTGTCTCTGCCTTCCCCCCCCGAGACGGCGACGACGCGATCCGTTCAGGCCCGGCGTCTTTCCTCGACGTCAGCCCCCCGGGGGGGGGCTGTTCTCGGGCCCCGGCAGCACTGTTGCGGAGCCAGGGCGAGATCTGCGTCCGGGGAGGGGGGCGGGGCCCTCCGTGCGGCCGCGCATCAAGAGAGTCACGTCGTCGGATGTCTGGGGAGGGCAGAGACGGCAACGAGGGAGACGGCGATGGTTGCGAAGATGACGACGAGGACGACATCGTTGAGGAGAAGGAGGAGGAGGACGACGACGTCGTCGAGGATGCGCCGGATGAGGCGCAGTGAGAGGGGGAGAGTCGGACGAGCGAGAAGCCATGGCAATGACACGTTCCAAAATTCCAAAGCTTGTGGGAGCCTTGCGCGTCCAGAGACGAATCCCTGAGCCGATAGAAACTAGCGAGCTCCAGGAGCGTGTCCTGATCCAACCGCATCATGACAGTGTTCCCGTTGTAGATAAGGACCGTTGCCCCTCCCCCCCCCGCATTTGGAGCTGCCCTATCGCGCCCCTACAGCCTCGCAGTCTTGGCCACCCGACGAGCACATCCCTCCCACTCCGCCCTCGCCTCCTCCAGTGATTCAGCTCCCTCGTCCTCTTTCCTCCCCCTTGCCCCCTCCACCTGCACTACAGTCGACACAGATGGTAAGGACGATCGACTTCCCAAAGGTACCCGTTGCATCCTTGCTTCTCCGGTCATCTACGGTCCATCCTCAGCCACCTTCGATGGCCAGCCCCGCACGACAGGCACCGACATGGGCGTCCGAGGGGCTTGCATCCTCCTCGCGCAGCCTTGCTGTCAGTCTTGAGCGCAGGCACGCGGGCAGGTGCCCCACGGAAGCGTCGTGTGTCCCCGTGGTTTTGGGGGGTCACAGAAGCCTTGGGTTGAGTCAGGCCTATCCCTCTACAGGAGGAATATTCAAGAATAGTCTAAAAATAATATGGGAACGATGTGTTACTCATTTTTTATTGTTAAGTACCTTTTGAATCTTTTCAGTTTTCATCCAAAATCCGCCTGTAGAGGGACACGCCCGACCTAAGCCTTGGGGCATCCGCACCCTGCGGAAGCGCCGAAAGCTCGACGAAGAGTGTGCCCCCTGCCCCGCACTCCCGCGATCCCCGCCATTGTTTCTCACTGTGGCCAGGCAAGGCAGCAACACGCCTGTCAAGACGCGGACATGAGGACAGCTCTTGGGCTTCAGGAGGGGCCAGGGCTTTCGGGCCGCTCCGCAGACTATGCAGTGGGACCTGTTTGTGGAATAGGCCCGCCGTGGCAAGACAAGCCCCTTCGTTCCTTGGTATGCGTTCCAGGTGGTACGGTTGAAGGAAAAATGACTTTGCATCAAGAACGATCGACGACAAAGGACCGAACTCAACCCCTCCTGAACCCCCAGCCTTGGCATCGGAACGCGTTGCGATCGAGACCTTGGGTGCAGATGCTTTGCGGCCGCTCGTCTCTGGGACCATCTGCTCATTATTAAGGCTGGGGGGTGCGGGGGGTGTATTCGGAGTGGTCCCCCAACTCTTGGTGCAAAGTTTTTCCTTCAACGGTAGCACACTGGCCGCATGTCTCGTCGCCTGTGTCTGCTGTGCCCCACTACCGGTAGGTCGGGCATGTCCCCCTACAGGGGGATTTTGGACGAAAAATCAAAATATCCCCCCAAAACACACAACGGTCAAATCAATATTCAAAACATCGTTCCCAGACAATTGTTTGACAATTGTTGAACACTTCCCCTGTAGAGGGGCACGCCCGATTTGACACTGCCGACGCCCACGGCTCGTCGGCAGGCGGAGCGGAGCAGGGGCAGCAGCACCTTCAGGAGCGGCTGCAGGAGAAGGAGGGGAGAGAAGGAACAGGAAAACGAGGAGGAGGCAGAGGAGAGCTACAATCGGGTATAGCCAGGACCCCAGGACCCCAGGTGAGGGGACCCAGGTAGTGGTAGGGGCCCGGAGCTCCTGAATTGGCCAGAATCGCTGAACCAGGTTTGCCGTAGTTGGTGTTTTTTCGGGTGACGGCAGCTCCGGTTAGTGGAACGGGGCGGGGAGGGCGTCCACCAGTACACATCACCAAACCAGGTCCCACTAAACCCAGTTCTGCCAACGCCCGACACGAGCTCGACCCTGGGGCGACCTTCTCAGACCAGAGGAGGCCCACGAGCTCATTCCTGTCGTGGGCTTCTCGCCGTGGGGCGGTGGGGTACGGGCGCGGGGGAGAGAGGCCGAGCGCCTCGGCCACGCGGCAGGAGGAAGGGGATAAGGATGAAGCAGGCCGAGGAAAAGGAAAAACAAGTTGGAGGAAACGCACGCTCGAGCGGCACAGGCAAAGGTATCCGATGGTGCGGGCAGTCTCACGCAAGCTGCCCGCGTGAGGTCGCGCTGGCGACCCACGTAAGCCACTGCGTGAAGGTCGCCATATGGTCTCGCGTCAGACCCGTGTCTTCTCGTCGCCCGCTTGAGTTCAACGGTTCCGTTCCACCAACTTCCAAGCACGCGAACGGCGACGGCGAGGGATGATGAAAACGAGGAGCCAAAGGAGGACGAGGAGGAGCAGCCGCAGGAGGGAGGAGGAAGAGCAGACGCAGGAGGGACGAGGAGGAGGAGCAGGAGCAGGAGGAGGAGCAGGAGGGGACGGTGGAGGAACGCTGCAAGCACAGTGCTTAGAGCCCGCCCCACGCAAAGGGGAGGGCGGAGGAGCAGCAGCACCAGAGGCCGCAGGCCTGGGAGGAGCAGCGGGCCGCAGCAGCACACCGAGCTCCCAGAAGGCAAAACACGCGGGCATTGGGTCTCGCCTCTGCCCCGGGGCCCCCGCTCGTGCTCGGCGACCTCGACGCCCCAGCCACCTTCCTCCTCCCTCCTCCTCCTCCTCCTTCTCCCTCCTCCTCCTCCTCCTCCTCCTCCTCCTCCTCCTCCTCCTCGTTCCCAGTTCCCCGTCGTGCCGCCCGCTCAAATAGGATGCTCTGCCGCTGTGTGGCTTCCGCGCCGGCGCGTACCTGCATAACGCACGGAGAAGTTAGACATTGCAATCAACATCTTATTCCCGCCATCCTTTTTCTCTTGCGCCCCCCAAGCCCGCAAGTCTACTTGGTAGCGGAGCAGGGAGCGATCCCAGTTCGCGATCCACGGAACATGCGCATAGTGCGGTGTGGACGCACATTCGCACATACCTTCGCCTCTAGTCCTTGTGCAGCCTGCGCTTATGTCTGGTCTGCAAGCCAAGTGGCAATTCGCTCCGTACGTGTGGTCCGACTGCGACGGCATCAGCAGAAGGCGCAACCGCGATGAGGAGCGACTCGCCCACGGGAACGCCACGACGTTCCTCGAACCATCGCAACCCCACAGTTTGTTTTTCCTCGGGGTCGGGTTTGGCCCCTTCCCCCCACGCGCCAAAGGCCGCTCTTGTCTAAAGGGTCACTCTCTGCGCTCAGCCGCCGCCTGTCCGCAGGCACCTGCTCGTGCTCGGTGGCTTCGACGGCTCTCGCCACCTGGACACCACCGAGGTCCTGGACCTGGCCACGCTCACGTTCTCGCCAGGGCGCCGCGCTGATCCTCCTCTCCACCGCAACGACTTGTCCCTTGAGATCTGGGCTGTGCAGTTTTGTTCGCACTGGACGTTTTCGCCCAGCTTCGGGCCCCAAGACCATCGCAGATCGATCCAGCTCGAACATGCAGCAGAAAGATGGGGGTCTACGGTTCTGGTCGCGAGGTTGCGCGATGTTGCCTTTTGTCCCAAAGACGTCGGATCGCAGGGCCACTTCGCGCCTCGGAGGCGACGGTGACGGCGACGAGCCCAGGAGGGGAGCAACACACCCATCAGAAATCCGAAGACAAAGCAGCAACTCCCATGGACTCCAGCCTTCGCGGAAGAAAATCAAGAACCTTGACATGACCCTGGGCGAATTATTGGAGCCTCTTTTTGTTCGTCGAATTGTCGTACATCTGGGCCTGGGCTAATGCTTAAGAGAACGCTCGGAGCGAAGTCCGTTCGTGTAGCGTAAAATGTTCCCAACTCTCGGCAGGGATGATTTAATGTCAGGGTCGCCGACGGCCCATGTCTCCGGAGAGGCTCCCGGCGAATGCGTGTACAGTGGAGACCCATGCCAAGAAGAACCTTGCTTGCTTCCAGGGTGCCCCGGGTTTCATGGCTTTCGATGGTTTGAGCTATGGAAAGCGTGACGTTCCCACACCCAGATCAATGGACGTCCTGGGGTCTCAGAGCTGGGTTTCTTGTTGAAGGTTTCTTGTGGTCGAGCCCCCCATACTGTAATGCTCTAGGCCTCCTCGATAGGGTCGGAGAAGCTGGGGTCGGAGGATCGCGCCACATCGCTGATGCATTGCCGATGCGGATCGATGTGGAGCCCGCTTTGCTTCACACCGACGTCGCCCATGCATCGCCGTCGTCGACACTGTATCGCCGATGCATCGCCGATGTATCGGCGATGCGGCGCGATCCTCCGACCCAATCTACCCAGACCCCCGACGTCATGATTTTTTCATCACGCGACCCCCAGAGGTCCCGACCCATTCCCCGGGACCAGGTTTTCATGCCGAGCCGTTTTTTGACGGCCCCGAGGCCCGGTAAGGGCCCCCAGGGGCCGAAAATGAAGAAAAACTCGCCGTCGTGATTTTTGTCACGACGCGAGGGGTCTGGCTA